GGAGCTGGAGAGATTAGCCAAGTTGATATCCAATCTCTTTCTCGTACAAAAGACTAGATCATATCAAAATTCAAGAAAGGTCTTATTTTCAAACCTCTGGGATGGAGTACATGTTTGACGTAGTATCTCGAGTAACTTTCAAACATTTTGAACGAAAGCTTTACTTTATTTCCACATTGTTAACAAAACGTAAATTTGGAGAAGAGTTATCGAAAAGTTGCAGTATTATTTAATGGAACCGATTAGAAAGTAAAATCACGCCAAATATATTGCGAAAAGAGTTCAAAAGAGGAGCACTACAAACTACATGTCAGGGTGGATCTGGTTAATTTGTCTGCAAACGAATGCTTTCAGTATCATTTGTTTGAGGAAAGAGTTCACGCAAAGTATTCAATCGATAATTTCACTAAGTGAGGCATGTAATACTCGAGATCAAAAAAGCTGGAGATTCAAAATGTTGTCAAGAGTTAAGTTCGATGTTATATTGACGTATTTAACCTACTTTCGCCTTGTATTCCACATCATCGCGGTTGTTGGCAAACTGAAACAGAGGACCAATCATGGGCACAATCAAAAATGCCCCCAATGGAAAGAACAGCTTGTAAGCTTGCTTCAGCTAGAAAAATAATAATTTAAGCTAAGCGGCTAGAATACACAGAAATCGCGATGTGAATCACAAACTTGCTCCAACGTATAAGGCATTTCATCACTTCCAACTTCTTCATATAAATAGGAATAAAAATTTTCTAAAAGTTCTTCCCATCTCTCCCGTCTTTCCTTTGCGCTAAGACAGGCGTTCAGAAGTCGAGCAATGTCTGTTGTGGGACAGCCGAAATGAGATGTCTTGAATAACGTGATATGCTCGCTTTCGTTTTTTTTTCCCATCTAGGCATCCAAACCTGGAAATCAACGATAGCAGCAAGTTCTATGCCCTTATCGCCTTGCCTCCATATCATATTCGTTGACCACATATCACCTTGGCACAGGACCGGCTTCATTCCTAAATCACGGAAATGTCAGCAATTCACTGGCCCAACAACTTATCCTAGGTTAAACAATAATCATAAGAACACAACAATAGGTTTCATTCCAAAGAGTAAATCTAACCGAGTTTTTCAGAAAGATGGTCTCCGAGGTCCATGTCAAGAATTTCAGAGCTAACACTCTCTAGTCTATCTATGCTCTCCTTGAGTCCATCCCCTCCACATTTTCTCATCACTGCGATTATTGAGCTTGTATTCTGGAATAAAAGCACTCGAGTTCCTATAGCGCTTGGCTCTGCACCCTATAGGCAAATTACCCTTGCCTTTATTATTTTTCATAAAGTTTAAATAACCTTCAGGAAATAGTATTTGGAAACAGTAAAGA